TATTTTTCTAGATTCTGAAGTATAATAGAGAGGATTCAATGTCCTCGTGAAGCTTTCTCTCAGGAGGAAACTTGGGGAGAAGATTTGCGATTTTTTTGGCAGATTCTAAATATGATTTATGCTTGTATACTGTGGCTGCTAACTTAGCTTCTGCATTGGCGCACCGGTTTTTGAATGCTAAGATGTGACTGTTTCTGTAATTCTCCTTCCCAAGTAGGTCGGCGAGCTCCGTTTTCTTCGGTGTCCAGCTGCCAGTTCTCAAATTGAAGGCATACAAAGGAAGGAATCTTTGTCCATAATCAGCTATGAATTCTAAAGCTTTTAAAATGAACTCGAACTCCTCATTTGGCATGTAGTAGGGAAAGCTTATTCTTGTCCATCCAGGTTTTATTCCAGCATAGCCCTATTAGGTTGTTAGAGATTTAGTTTGGACAAAGTTCACTGTTTCATGGAATGCAAAATTGAAAGATACCTTAGCAATGGCAGATCTGTAGGCATGCGAGCATTTTTCATCAATGTTGAGCAGCTTGTGACCATAGGGACCGGCACAACTGCATCCTCCTCGAGCCTGAATGCCGAACAGATCGCTCAGGAGCGCTGCAACAAAAGGACCATGAAGAGGTTTTGCTCTCATATACCCTGTCTCTTTCCACATGTAAATCTTTTCAGCCTTTTCTCTGCTGTTAGGTTTACATAATCTATCAGTGATACAGTTGGGCGACGAATTAGTCAAAGAGTAAACGATAAAAGATAATATAGCTTGTCGCTTAGAAGACTTGCTCCCTAAAATGCAGATGCTTCTATTTGGGAGAAGTCTCTTCAAAGCCCTCTCTACGTACTGGTGCTCTTGCTTCTCTATCTCTTGGTTGCTGATATATTCTTTTACCTCAAAAGCCATAGCTGCTCTTATTATTCCTATAATCTGTGGTGTTCCACCGTTTTCCCTCTCTTCTATGTCTTCATTATACAGTGTGTCCTGCAGAAAATCTTCCATGAGCAAAGAAACAGACGTCGAAATATACCGAACTTTTAGTTTCGATCGGACGGATTCCACACGAACAAAACTCAAAATTTGGTGAGCTTTTTTGCATTACCTTTTCACTGAAGCCATTGACATAGTTCACAGTACCACCCCCACAAGTTGATGGAGGAGATGACTTCAACTTATAGAGACTTTTGTTCATCAGAAGGATTCCAGGTGATCCAGGCCCTCCAAGAAACTTGTGAGTACTTAGAACAATCGCATCATAGCCATCAATTTCCCCTGATTGCATATCTATTTGCACATAAGGGCCACTGCATCGTAGTCAAACACTTAGCCAATGCTTTTGATTCAAGTAAATGGGTAAAATTCAGGTACCTTGCAGCAAAATCAAAGCAAACATGGCCTCCATATTCATGGATCAGTGTAGCAATAGCTTTGGTATCTGAATAGATTCCTGTGACATTACTACAAGCTGAGAAAGAACCCAAAATTAGCCTCTTTCCAGCTTTCTTATACGCCTCAAGTTGGGATCTGAGCATCTCAATGTCTAAAACCCCATTTTCATCCATTCCAATTTCTACCACTTCCGCCAAGCTCTGCCGCCATGAGAGGAGGTTGGAGTGATGCTCATAAGGTCCAACAAAAACAACCCACCTTTCTTCTTCCTTTAGGGTCCCTATTACCCTGTCTCTCAGAATGGATGGCACTGCAATTCCCATCACTTCTTGCAGTCTTTTAATGGCGGAAGTTGCGCCTTGGCCACAGAACACAAGCGCTTCTTCTTCTCCACCTCCTAAGCACTTCTTGATGTATGCGATTGCATCGTTCGCCATCTTTGTTGTATGCTGCCCGACATAGCTGTCGCTTGTGTGAGTGTTGCCTGCAGATTTGGTGAACTGAGCAAAGATATTTATCTAAACCATTTCGAAGTTTTTTAGATTGAGAAATCACCATAGAAAGGTAGAACGTTTTGGAGGATGAAATCTTCAATATAACGAAGAGAACGACCAGACGCTGTATGATCAGCATAACACACTCGTCTTTCTCCAAATGGAGAATTAAACTCTGCATCTCTACCTATAATCTGACATCGCAGCCAAACCAGCCTTTCCTCCACCGTGCCGGGAAACAGAGCGCCGTCCTTTTCCATCGTCTGAAATGACCTCGACTGCCCCCAACCTCCGGAACTTCTGGCTACATTACGTTCGGTGCTTGCACTTTCTGAAACGTCTCCGGCGAGGTTGAGAGCTTTTTTCGACATGGGTTTCTCCAGCTTCAACTCCATAGCTTAGCTTCAGAAGAAAACAATGAAATTATGAAACACAAGGCTTTCAAACGGTGGGAAAAAGTTTGAATTTTCTGTGGATTTATACATTTTCGCCCGTTTGGTTGTGGAATGAATTTAATTAGACTCCAATAATCAAACAGGGAGAAGCCATTAAAAAAAAATTAAATTTGATTGATTTTTCATTTTTTTTCTTCTACTTTTATCTACTTATTTTGAAAAAAAAAAAAATCCACGATAATTTTTCTTCTTACCTTGTCAAGATTTTTTACCAAGAAAAATTATTAAAAAAATACTTTTAATCATCAAATTTATAAACTAAAAATAAAAAACTAAATTGTTACATACTTTTATAAGAGTTTAGAGATTAATAGCATTTTTCTTTTTTACTAATAAAAAGTGATATATTTGTATTTAGTATTAAGGGAGAACGAGGATTACGAGTTTGTTTTATGGAATTAATAAATTTAAGTATATATACTTTTAAAATAAAATCCAATGAACTAATCAATCAATAAGTGTTAATTAATGGATTCTAAATAATTTAAGGATGATGTTAATCAAATAACTAATCATAATTACTAAAAAAAATTACTTGTACCCAATATATTTAATTGAATAGGTTTAACCTATTCTAGTTTTAGTTAATTTGTCAATAGTTTTAATTAATTCTTTTTGGAGAAATTTGATAATTAAAAAAAAAATCAATTAAGTTAATATGTTTTATTTAGCTAGATTTCAATAAAAAAAATTTAATATTGTCCAAAAAAAGTCTTTAGCTATAAAAACTAGGGTGTTGGTTAGCTTATTTAATTATTTTTACTTTGTGTTAATATAGATTTATTTAATTAATATCAAATAAATTATTTGAATTTTAATAAGTTTTTTTTTAGTTTCCACATACGTATTCAATACTAACTAACCTTGTTATCATTATTTATAAAATTAATATTTTAAACTCACAAAATAATACTCAACCATACATAATTTTTTTTCAACAAAAAAACCCCAAAAATAATTTATAATTTTCAGAATTAAACCAATATATATATATATATATAGATATATATATATATATATATAGTTTTAGTAAATTTAAAATTTATTAAGTATCCTTGATCTCAATCAATTTCTATATTCTATTTTTAAAAAAAATTAGGAAGAAAAATTATGGGTATTAGATTATTTTAATTTTGAATTTAAAACAGATTATTTAATTCATAGCAAATAGTTGGCCCACTGTAGCCTTACTTTATTTTCGAGTTTAGGGTTTAGGGCTTAGAGTTTACGTAGTTATTATTAAGTCTACATCAACAGATGAATAATAAGATATGATGTCAATAGGATAAATTGTGTCCATAGATACATACAAGTCGATCTTTCACAAGTTGTTAGTAATTACATATATAACGTAAGCATCACTGATTCTTTAATGAATTGTTTGTTTAGATCCAACCATCAATCAAGTCACGAACCAAGCATATGGTCAGACTCTATTTTCATATAATGGATAAAATTAATTACGAGGTTTTAGAACATAATCTCGATATTACAACCATGAACAAATCAGACAATTGAATTTGTCTGCTTTGTTCGATCCAGATGATTTTTAAGAGACAAACACAATCAATTTGTTACGAGTTTATTTTAAAATTATTTTAAACTAACATAAATGAAGGGTTAGTGAATTAAAGTATTGAATGGTTGAATATAATGTGTGAAAAGGAGTTAAAACTTTTTTGGATATTTTGTGTATGACAGCAGGAACCCAACCATTATAATCAAAATGCTTTATCATTCACTTTCTTTTTTACTTTTATTATTTATTTTGTTTATTTAATCTCTAAGCTCCCGATCTAATAAATCCGGTAATACTACTGTTCTTCCTATCGGATATGGGATCCTATTCTCACCTCTTTCTTCTTCCGTTTTTTTTCTTCCGTTTTTTTCATGTTCAATGAATAAGATATCAATTACTATTCTTAAATTTGGGTGTGTAACCGTTTAAGCTCACTGGTAGTAAATATTGTCCATTTTGACCCGTTACGTATGACCGTCGGCCTCACAATTTTAAAACGTGTCTATTAAGAAGGAGTTTGTACACCCTTATAAAAGAATATGCGTAAAAGACAATCAAAATCGAGATTTTAGCATCATAGAGTGAAACAAAGAGGATGAGTAGCAGAAATGAGTGAAAACAGACAAAAAAGAGGAAACAATGATAGCAAAAAACATTGCAAAAAATGGCATTTTGTGTTTGTTGAGTGGCGGTGGTTTATGCCGTCGGCTTTGGCCCGTGACTGTGTGTGTGTGTATATATTTATTATTAATAATATATATTATATTTTCTGGAGAGTCAAACAGTGTTATTATTAATTAAAATGGAATCATTTTTTCTTTTATCTTTTTCTTCTTGCTTTATGTAAACTGTTCTTATTCTTCCTTCCTTCATAATTGATTCACATTACTAATGCTTCTCTCTCTAATTATTTACAAAAAAAAAAGGGGGTTTGTCTAGAGTTCTAGTTAATAATTTCGATACTCGAGGTATTTTTACGGGTTTTCTTTTGTACATCCAACCATATAAGTTTAGTAACCATATTGTAGCGATTGTATCGAGTATTTCGAATCAAAACGCGTAAAAAAATATTGCTTTTGCCCCCACAAAGTGCTATCTTTTCATCGTCCTCTCTACATCCCTCTACATCCCTCTCCATCACTCAAAAGAAAAAAAGAAAAATAAAAAGTTAGCTTTGAGTGAGTGCCTTATTCATTATCCTCTCTCGATTACGTATCTTCATTTGTTTCACGATTTTAAAACGTGTGTGTTAGGGAGAAGTTTCAATGCCTCTTCAACCGACGTGGAATCTCACAATCCACCTATACACCGACAAGAAATTGTTTATTTCTTAGAACCATTAAACAGAGAGATCCTCTGCTTCATAGCTCTGTCTGTCTCTCTTCCATTGAGGAAAAAAGGGAAAAAAAGAAGAGATTTTGAAGGGAAATCTGAAATGGGTATGAAGAATTTGGGGATGTTGTTGTTCCTCTACCTCGTAACCCCAACAACGTTTGTAGCCGCCGACCAAACCCTAATCCAAAAGACGTGCAGAAGCACTCTTTACTACGCCCTCTGCATGTCCTCCCTGAAATCAGACCCCACCAGCCTCACCGCCGACACCAAGGGACTCGCCGCCATCATGGCCTCCATCGGCGCCGCCAACGCCACCGCCACTTCCACCTACCTCTCATCTCAGCTCCCCACCTCGGCCAACAACAACAAGAACAACAGCAATAGAACAAAACTCATCCGACAATGCTCCGAAAAGTACGCATTTGCAGCTGAAGCGCTTCGGGCTTCTCTCAAAGACTTGGCCGAAGAGACTTATGATTATGCGTATATGCATGTGGCTGCGGCGGCGGATTATGCCAATGTTTGCCGGAATGGCTTCAAAGTGTTCCCGACGGTGGCTTATCCGGCGACGCTTCGTCGGAGGGAAGAAGGGCTGAAGCGTATTTGCAGAGTGGTTTTGGGAATTCTGGATCTTCTTGGCTGGTAATCATTGTTGTCTCTCTCTTCATCTAAATCATAATTTTGTTTTTACTTTTGCTTTTTATTTTTTGTAATAAATTTGATCTTTTTTTGCATATTATGTTCTTAAAGGAATTTAATGACTCCTACTTCTTCTGGATTCATATTTGTGTTTTTTTTCGCTCAAAAAATTCGAGTTTGAGTTTCATGTGTTGATCAAAAATATATTTTAGGTTAGACAGATTCCTAATTTTGTAATTTTTTTTTTTATTCAATTTGAACGGTCATTGCATTTCGAGTTTGTTACCGTATTAAAAAAGTATTCGTTTATAAAAAATAAACGTTAAATATTAATTTGTGAGATTCCATTAATATAATATTGGAAGCAAATCTTGTAATTAGATTTAAAACTTCAATTATTAGATAAAGTAAAGATTAGAAAATTGATTTTGAAAATGATCCTTCCATTATTTTTAGGGTCCATATTTGATATTAAATTGGCTTCCATATCCAATAGTTTCCTCCATGTATGAATGTCTCTTTCAAGAAAATAAAAATTGGACAAACCTTTTTGGATTAAACCCTATTTACTCCGACAACTCCGACTCAGAAAAGGTACATAACTTATGCTCACTTTAACAAATTATATTAGCTTTAAAGATATAAGATCGAGACAATAGATTACATTGTCGCGATCTTAATTTCATCGTGTTATATTTCTACCCTAGATAGATGGAAACTCAAGATTGAGACGTGTTATATTCCAAACCTAGATAGATGGAAACTTGATCTATCTCAATCTCGAGGTGAATCTATATCATAAAGTATATACGGGAAGTTTATCATTAAGACTCCTTCCAATAGAAAGTCTAAAAGTACAAATACTTGTGGAACGATTTTTGGCTGGTGACCCCCTTAGAAGCATGAAATTGAAAACATGTTATTCTTCGTGTTAGTTTGTTGGGATAAAAGCACAGAAGAACAAAGAAGCGAAAACTGAATATCGTAGAACTCTTCCCAAGAAGAGCTTACCGAGCCAAATATCATTAGAATCTTAATCACCAGGGAACATGAGATCAAAGATGATACACAAATCATTGTAAAAAAATATCATTTCAGCTACATCAGTGATCCACATTTGATCAAGCACCGCCAACAAAATGCTTGTAATAACTCAGCATAATCTGTAGGGATGAAGAGAATATACAGTTGATAGCATAGCGTACCTCTCTCATGGATCAATAGCCATGGGTGTGATGCGCCTTTTGGCTGGCTTGCTGGTAACAGAGTTGCTTGAAGAGCTTAAAGATACCTGTATACTTTCATTCTTTTCCAATTCATGTCCTCTGCACTCTGATTCTGCAAGATTTTCTCCACTCGAAGGTTTTTCGATCACCATGTTTTCTGGTTTTTCAATCACCATGTTTTCTGGTTTTTCAACGCTTTTGTTTTCTTCATGTCTCTCTTCTACTTCTGTTTTCCTATTTTGATCGTCGTTTACAGTCACCACGCCTGTTAAACTCGTATTCTGATTGGTTGTCATGCCTATTTTATCTTCTACATCGATTGAAGGCAAACTATGAGAAACAAATTAACCAAAGAAAACTATTATTTCGAGAAAACATAACAGGAAGGGAGAAGTAAATAGTGACCTGATAGAGCAAGTGGTGACCCCAGTTCATCGTTTTCAAATTCCACCAAAGTGCAGTAACCATCTTGGGAAGATAGTGCTAAATAATGAGCATCTGCCGACCTTTTAAGAACAATAAACTCAGAATTGAGAAAATGAGAATCTGCCAAAGGGAGTAGTCACGAGATAGGAGCAGAAAATTTACCACGCGACATCTGTTATGGCAGCATAGTGAAGACCAGCCATAATTACTAGCGGCACAACACTTTCAGTGTCATATATGTACAAAGAACTTAAAGTTGCTACTGCAAAGATGATCCGATGTGGAAGCTTAAATAACCCAGCTGCAGAATTCATAATACAAATATTGAAGCCGGTCATTTTCCAAACCAATAAAACTTCTCTTGAAAATTAATCAAGTAATGCATAAAACATGGTAAAAATCATCTGAGCACCTGAATTTAATCCTCTAAGACTAAAAAGCTTTGGACAAAAGCAAACTGCTACAACCGGCTTGCTGGCACCAGGGAGTTGAATAGCAGGCCTGATCGGAAAGATGATATAAATTAAAAAAGGATCGTTCTAGTTTTTAAATCTTTCCAAGATATCACTCACGATAATGTAATTTGGCACGGGTGCAGCAAAAGTTGAACTACCAGTGACAATAAAGATGCTGGATATCACTATCATTATTGCTTCATCATGATTACCATTACTATCAAACTAGTAATAACAAAGAATTAAGTCTTGCCTTGAGAGATCCTTTCTAGAAAATATATACGCTGTATTTACTGGTTCAGATGCCGGCGATATTTTACAAACACCTGAAAAGTGGGCAGAAAATCAACAATCAGAGAAAAAAATACGAATGGAAACTTAATTATGCATGCACATGAGAAATGCTGAATGGAATAGGTAACACGAAAACCGCGATGAAGAATGGAAACCACACGAAAAGCACATTCCTGTTGGGAAACCTAACTGCATCTCTAGTATGAATGGATGTGATCCACTACATGCAATATAAGTATTAATCAAGTTAATAAAGAAATATAGTATGATAAATGCACCAAAACTGCCCCAAACAATTAAGAAAGGTTCATCAAGTCGGAATGAAAATTTTCCTAAGCACCGTGGATAGGTGGTAAATAGCAATCGACATCTACCCCAACCGTTACCTGCAGGCACAAGTAGAAAAGATCCATCAGGTGACCAGGCCAACCTTCGGAAGAAAGATGGCAATGTTTCATCATGAAAGAGGTGGTTTCTGACAGACTGCAGTGTTGAGCATAAATGACACAATCAATAGAGGAAACATCAACATACTAAATGCTTGAACAACTACAATACTCTTGACATCTTCTACCTTAGAATCATCAACTGAAATATTTTCTGCCTTAGTAACGACATGCTGACAAACATAATTCATTTTCTCACTGCTTTTTACTTTGGTTGGGGCTTTATAGGCATAGATTCTGCAACTTCTATCTGAACTCAGAGAAGCAGCATACTTTCCCAGTGGGTCCAATGCCACACCTTGAACATAGTGCAAATGGGCATCTAAAATCTGATGGACAGATCCTGAAGAACATGGAGAAGAACAACCAGAGCTAAATGGTTAATAAAACAAATAAGCTTAATTCTAGTAATAGATTTATCTTTTTCTTTTTCTCTTTTTTCCTTGGAGTGTCTTTTGTTCAACCTTTGCTTACATCCCATATGATGCAGGAATTATCTACGGATCCAGACATCAAATATGCACCATCACTAGACCACTGTAGGTCCAGCACATCCTTGCGGTGAAATCTAGCCAATATAGATAATACTGATATTAGTGGAAATTCTGCAAGAGAACATGACTAGGAAATATTCCTACAATTACGACTTAAATTTGCTCTATCGGGTGTGGTTTTCTTTCTTTTTTCTTTTTAGTTCATGAGCGTTTGGACTGGCCTGCCCAAATCTAACTATTCTCCTAGAACAACTGTCTAACCCTACTATATTTCGCAGCCAAGTAAACCGATAGCATATTAACTCCTAGGTAGGTGGTCACCGTGACTTGAACTAATTTTTCACCATTTACATCAGTGCTAATTGACACTAGGTCATGGAAGTTAATACTGGGTGTTTTAATATCAATTTTTTGAACTTCATGGCTTCTTAACACGTTAAAATAGGGAGGGCGATAAATGGCCTTACGATAATGTCTTCAGGACCTTCCAAGTTTGGCCACTTTCCAAATGGTGCAATTTCCATATGATCAGTTCACCTCCTGTGAGAAATGAAAACTAATATATAAGAAAAAATCTACTGGAATTTAGCAACTGGCTCAAATATGTACTGAAAACACCATCTGCAATTGGCGGAAGTACTACCATCAGCACCAGAGGCAAGCAGTTCTCCTGCAAAAGACAATGGAAATTAACTTCTAAATCTGAAGTAAGAAAGCAAACAAGCAAACAAGCAAATAAAAAATTAGAAGAGATGCTCAAAGGTACCACAAAATATATTAGTTTACACTTCTCCAACTCTAGTGCTCAAAAGCCTTTTTGTAAAAGCACCAAATTGACCCAAATTTTTTTAATGTAAAATAGCAAACTAAATTCACCCAGCCCACCCCATGTGCTGGTAAGGAAGTAACCTTCCTTCCCAAAGTGCTCATTCTCCCTTGAATGGAGAAAGGTAGATGTCAGAATTAACAATAAATTTTAATTTAGTCGATTGTTCTAGCTGCATCAAGATCGTTGGCATATAGATGATCGTTTCAATGTAGTGAGATGGTCAGACGAAAATTCCTAAAAATGGTCCAAGTAGCAGGAGTATAAGGAGCTTAGCTATATATATGTATGTATGTGTATATATGTGTGTGTGTGTGTGTGTGTGTGTGTGTGTGTGTGTGTGGGCTGAGCTCTCAGTCTAGGGTTGGCCAGGTTTTATCTTCATAAAAAAGGTGAGGTCTTTAAGGATGAAGCTAAAGGGTGTGATAGAGAACAGTTTTTATTTCAATTCTTCACCCACGTGAAAATTTTAAAAGGCGATCTACTCCTTTTAAATCTAAAAAAAAATCAAGCAATTAATTTTGAAAATGACTTCTGCAAAAGTGCAACATTGATTGTGATAATACCCATTTCCTCCCTCCCTCTCTTTCCGACCTAATAACCATAAAAAATTCATCAATCGTGTAGAGCCTAATATAAAAACAGTCATTTGTGAGACAAAATTCCTATTTGAAAATTTTGTCCTGGCAATTGGCATTTTCAATCATCCAGATCATTCAAATTGATCATATATTCAAAAACTTGATGTACAATACATATTAGGTTAACGGTTTACAAAAGGGGAAATACCATTTTGAAACACTGAGGTCCTGGAATCTTTACTCAGCCAAATGGTTATACGTTAAAAGACTCAAAATAACTACCATATTAAGCTAATGATTTACAGAAGGGACATTACTTTTTGTAGCACTGATGTAATCAAAATTGCAAACCATAAGATTTCGATAAAATTAAAGCTTGATCTCGATACAGTTGATGAAATCTACCGAACAAAGTACTAATATTTAACAAATAATCCACGAAACGAACTAGCTTCATAACACTAAACATAATGTTGAGGGACGCAGATATATTATACATACCTGAAGGTGAGAAACGCAGGCTATTAACAGCAGAACCATGGTAAGAAAGGCTATTTTGATACGTAGCACCAGGGACATTTTTTTGTCCATCCCCTGAATTCAATAACCAAATCTGATAGAATCAAAGGCATCAGTTAGCCCATTGCCATACATCCAACCAATCAGTCAAATCTAAATAGTCAGAACATATCCCTTAATAGCCAATATTGCAAAAAATAAATTAATAATTGAAGTTGGCTAGCCGAATTTCATAAAGAAAATAAGAATCAGAAGCGAAGAGGGCAATTGAATGTAGACCTTGATATCGAAATCGGCTCCGCCGGTTGCGAGGAGACCTGAAAGTGGATGGAAATCTAGGGTGAGCACTGGCTTTGAGTCGTGCCAGTTGATCTGAAGCGTCCCACCCTTCATTTCTTGTTCCTAATCCCAATTTTGGACAGGGAAGTGAGTAATCGCAGGAGAAAATCTAGGGTTCAAGTGGAGAAGGAAAGAGGAATTTGCTGCTTCTGGAATTTGGCGCCCTTTTGAATGAGGTGTCCAAATGTGTTAAGATCGCGCCCAAATTGGCGCCTTTTTGGAATGCCTTACTTCGAAGAAATCACCAACTCACAAGTGAACATATATGATCTACTAATATTAGCTATTAATTATACGTTTTTTAATTTCCATTTTTTTTAATAAATAAAATAAATTACCCTTTTTAAAAAATCATTAAATTTAATAGCGGACGAAAATGTGAATAACGCCGAGTACGACTTTCCATAACAAAATCGACCTATACCTACTGTCTAAATTTTAATAAGAGGCAGTTTAAGCAATTCTCACGCGCTCTCTTTAAAGAGGTCACAGATACATAGTTGTTTGTCTATCTGTTTTATAGTAGACACTGATTCATTAGAGTTCTTCGCAAGAGCTTTGGAGGCTCGTATTGTCAGATTTGATAAGATTGTGTTTTAACCTTAACACTTATCCAACTTAATTAAAAGAATTAATCAAACATCAGACTCACTCCTATTACTGACCAATGTTCCATAATAATTAGTCTCTCTTTATTATTATTTTATGTTTTTTTTTTAAAATACTCGAAATTACATGGTTTATTAAGAGGCATAAAAATATAAATACTCATTTCATTTATTTCATTAGGGTACCCTTTTAAGATATGTTTAATTCATTGCTTATATTTATCTAATCCTAAAATATTAATGGCTCCCACGTTTTTATTTACTATAATAATAAATGAAATATTTTCGATTAAAACTTTATTTTAAATATAAAATGATCCCACCATTATTTTTTTGTTTGTAAAGATGAGATTAAATTATCACTAAATAAAAATAAATAAATAAATAAAATGGATGGCATTTGCTTAATTAATTAAGCTTAGTATTTTTTTTTGAAGGTACCATTACGACATATTAATTTAAGCATCACTCTAATTCATTAGTAATTACTCGTAATCATGTAATTAATTAAGTAAATATTGATTATCTCACCATCCTGATGGTGTAATAATGGCAGGCGTAGTCTCCATGGACGTGGACGAGGAGGCTGAGCCATCAGCCTTATGGAATGTAAGAGGCCACCCTCCAGCGGCGGCTCCGCCGTCAGTGCTTGGCTGTTGCGGCTGATCACTTGACTGCAGCAACCGGATTTGCCTCTTTAAGAATTTGACATAGCGAATTGCTTCATCCAGCATTGAAGCTGTGTCCATCTTCGTCCCACCAGGCACAAGCCTTTGAAGAATTCTGATCTTCTCACTGATCCTCTCTCGTCGAAGACGAGCTGCAATGCTTTGCGGGTCATCGCTAATCCGTACATTTCGTCGTTTGGGCTTTCGGATAGTCGAAGGATCGATATCCACCGGTTGCATTGCGGCGATCTTATACATCATCTCTTTCATGGCACCAAGCTCTTCTTCCGGCTCTTCGTCATTATCTACCCTAGAACTCGGAGTAGCTATACACAATACAAAAAAAGAATTAAACATATGATGATCGATAATTTAACATGATATCAAAGTAGGAGTAGTGAACATACCGTAGCTGATCAACAGGTGGGTTGAGGAGCTAGGGAATTGTTGATGAGGGTCGGGGAGATGAAAAGGCAACAACGACGACCAAATGGAATCAGGGTCAGGGTCAGGGTCAGGATCAGGGTCAGGGTCGTGGACGTGGACGTGGTGATGACGGTGAAGGATATGATGGTCTTCCATGGCGGAGTGATGGAGATGGGGAGAAGGGTTTGAGAGGTGATGGGGCTCCATGGAGGAGGGTGATGGGGGAGAAGGAAAAGGTAGGGTATGGGGTTTGGAGGGAGTTATGTAAGAAACTAGAAGACTATTGTATTGGTTCTATAAAAGGTTGATGATGAAGAATAAGGGTTTTTAGAGAGAGTTTGGATGGGCAAAGAGGAAAAAGGAGTGAGCTAGGGTTAACATTATTTTCATCCTGTTTTTGGAACACTTTCCCTCCAAGGAATTGCCCCTACCAATCAATCAAACCCCTTACAAATGGGTTACCCTTATTCTTTTCATCTTGTGCTACCCCATTTGCGATCTCTTTTTTTTTACGCTCGACATCTTAATCAACCTAATCGAATGAACCTTCGTTATGATAATGATTATAAGCTTTCTTTCGAGAATAGTAGGAGTGACTACTTACTGAATCGCAGCTAGCAATGCCACACATGTACTATTCGATGTATGAGAGATAAATTACAAAAATGCCCTTGAACAGGATTCAATCCTAATAGTGATTCATTAGCTAATTGACCCTTCGTTATGATAAAGATTATAAGCTTTCTTTCGAGATAGTAAGAGCAACTACTAGTGATGCTACACCTGCATTGTTCGATGTACGAGAGATAAATTACAAAAATACCCTTAAATAGGGAATCTTTGACTCAAAAACCTAATAGTGATTAATCAGCTAATTGACCTTCGTTATGATAAAGATTATAAGTTTTTTTTCGAGAATAGTAAGAGCAACTACTAGATGCTACACCTGCATTGTTCGATGTACGAGAGTTAAATTACAAAAAT